CACACACACACACACACACACACACACACACACACACAAAGATTGTAATAAACAAATTGAACAAACGCACATCCTGTAGTTTTCTTGATTAAGAACTACTTACCACCACCATTCTTCCATCAACTAATTTCCTCTTTATTGTTGAGTCCTTGCCATTCCATTTCTGCACTTGAACCAGTGCTCCTTTTTCTAAGGTTACCACAGTCTGTAGATCCAAACAGTAATTTTAAAAGTTACCATTTTGACATGGATTGGGTACAATAAAAATGTGAAGTACTATTAAACCATTCCCATACTAAAGTCTCTCTCTTTTCTCTCTCTTTCTTTTCTCTCTCTCTCTTCTCTCTCTCTCTCTCTCTCTCTCTCTCTCTCTCTCTCATCTATCTCTCTCTCTCTCTACAGTATCAATCATTGATTTATCTATCATCTACATATCTATCCATCCATCTACCATCGTCACTATCTTCTAGCATTTAGGAATAATCAGCCGAGAGAGAAAGAGACACATACATATATCCTGCTTGTTACACTGCATAGCAGAACTTAACTGACAATGGTGGCTGAAAAAACTAAGCAGAACTTGGATGATGGGCTATCAAGAGGCAGAAGGGCAAGAGACTCAACCAAGTAGTCAAAATGCACCCTGGAAGAAAGTCAGGACAAACTACTTTTGTAATGTTTATATAATAATAATAATATATATGAGTCCATGAAGTCACCAATCAAGCTGTTCCCTAGATCCATTTTGCTGTTTCTGAATCATGCTTGTATGTTGCTCCATCATAAGCAGTCACTTGCAATCTTGAGCTTTGCTACTGTATATTAAATAGCTACAGCTTTATTAGCAATAAGATGTGAATTATTTTTCTGCTTTGAATCACAAACAAATGACGCTCAATATATATGTTATAGTATGTTTTCCTCTTGATGGTTCCTCTTCCTTTTTTTCTGCTTTAGCTTCCACATGATTTAAGCTCAGTTCAGTTCTCACATGCCTGTTTTGGTTTAGGCCTTGTTTGCTTCGTCACCTTTGGATGATTATTTGTGTTTGTATAATCCATGGGGCCCTACTTGCCTAACCTGAGGAAAATCCAGAGGTCCACTATTTGGTATGAAATCAATTTTCTCTACTTCTATACTACCCTCTTGCAGTCATCTGGATATAGTAATTCTATTATATCGGTAGTAAATTTGAAGTTAAAAACATTTTCAATTACAAGGCATTTTTCTTCCTTTTCCTTCAAAATACATCTTAAACATATCCAATATATGAGAAATTCCCACATCAGGAGTGATCTCTGAGGAAATATGGTAGACAGTAATCAACTGTTATCTGAATGACTCACTTATTAATTTCTTCTGTGATCGGAAACTCTTAAACTGTTCCTAAGAGTATCAAAAGGCCTCCGATAAAATGTAAAAAAAACCACAAAACTTATTCACCTTGGTTTTTCTGCCATCTGCTGTGGTTTCTTGAAATTCTTGACCCAACCTAAATGTGATCTGTGTATTTTTAAAGGTACTTTCTGTTCTGATTGTGACCTCATCACCCTTCATGCTGATGATGGTTTTAGGTTTTGCCAAGTTACCAAGTTTCCTAGTTGCCAATCCCACTCCTAGGGAACACCAAGAAAACAGTAGTCATTCATTATTCATTTGACAAAAAGTGTATGTAGGGGGTTGTATTATGCAATCATTTACACCAATTATCTCTGACATACTATGTACCTGCACTCATATTTAAATTCATGATTAAATAACAGCATTTGTTTGTGTTCCTAGTAAGACAAATATGCATTGCTGCGAACCACATCATCATAGCCCAATAGAATTTTCATATTCCACAGTGATAGCAGGGGACAATGGCAGGGGACAATGGGAATCGTGCTCCAATATGTCTATAGAGTGCCTGGTGGAGATAAGCTAAAATAGTAGCATCAAATGAATAATAAAATTAAATAAATAAAAAAATGGAAACCAAAGTAGGAAGAACTGCTTTTCTGTGATAACTTCTCTATATGAAGAGTCGGTTTCCAGAAGAAATTTTAGTCCTGCGAGAAAGCACAACCAGGAGTACTAACTGTATCTTTTTTGCACATCAACAGAGTTTTGCAATACTGAAAATATGCTTCTCCTTCTTTACTTTTACTCCCCAGAAAACTAGGGTCCCTTTTGAAACATTTCTCCCACTCTCCCTCCTTCTGTACGGGGCTGGAGCATTTCCCACATGCTGGTTGTGCAGTCGGCACCTATCTTGTAAACTCACTTTCACCTACCATTACATCAACATGCAAGATCTGATTTTAATTATTGAGTCTTCTGCATTAGATGTGTACATCTGTATGTGTATAGTGTGTATGCACCAGGGAGAAACATATTGCATATTACCTCCAAGTGTGATAACCACATTCTTTCTTTGATGTTTGATATCTGATGATGCATTTACAAAGATGAATGATTTCTCGGTATGACCGGTACTTCTTGATGATGTAGAAATAAAGCATGTATGGGCTATACAAATCCAGATGACTATCTGATGGCAGCAAAGAGATATAGGAAACTCTAATGCTCAACTGCCATTTATTAGCCATGTAGATATTTACAGTCCAGACTCCATATAATAACCTCATCACACATAATCTCTTATTTTTTCAAAGATGCATTTTCATAGGTTAAAAAAGTAGTCTGAAAGGACAGCTTCTTAAGTATATTGATCTTACAACAAACCTATTTAACATTCTCTAGTAAAACAAATACTATTCTATCTTTCTATTTTCATATTTTACTTAATGTTCAAAAACAATACGACAGTTTTATTTAAAAATAATATATCTGTATATGTATATATAATATTTAACACATAAACAACAAACTTTCATATTTAATCTAACTAAGTTTCCTTAAAATATAGTTCTAGGGACAAAATAAGCAATTAAATTCCAGAGATATCTGACTTCATCAGTTAAAAGCCTTCACCGATGGAGTAATTCTGCAAATAAATAGTTATGCCTACAATTTCTGTGCAACAAATAATTTTATTTACCAGGAAAAACTGGCTGTCAGGAAATTTAGGACTATTTATTTAAATTGATTAGCTACCCAGCTCCAATAGACTCAAATTAAGTTTTTCCTTTTTCCATCATGAATAATGACTTTGAAGTTATGACATCTAATATTATAATAAAAGCTAAATAATAAATTCTATGAAAGTTATTACCAAAGAAGAAATTTAAAAATCCTCAATGTTTTCTCATATTTATTTTGAAGAGAATTAAATTAAACTTTTCATGATCTAATTGCAAAATTGATGAGAAATCAACAACGGATAATCTGCAACATTCTTAAAATCAAATCGAGATAAATCTCACCCAATTCTTTCATGTAATCATCAAAATTTTCACTAGAGATGAGTTTCCAGCTTCCCACAAATTTGTTGCACATAGTTTTGCTGGTCGTGTGTCCTTGGGAGAAGGGCAAAGACAGGAGCAATTCTTAAGAAGAGACAGATGGATTATATAAATGGTAATAACCCAGCCACATCTTTTTAAGAGAGACCATGGGCATGCAGGGCTTAGCACCTCCCAATGCAGAAGGGCAATGTCAGAGGCCAAACAATGGGCCCTTGTGCCATACCATTCATGCTAGTACCAAGACCAGCGGCATTTGCCTGCCACCAACTCCTCCGCAGTAATACAAAGAGGAAGGGTGATGGGCGTGAGCGTGCTACTATTGTGCTGGAGCACAGATGCAACATAGTGCTCTTGGGAAAGAAAGCATTTGATTTTTAGGAAAGTCTTATGACACTGTCTTATGAGAATGAGGAATAAACTTAATGAAGCCATTTAAGGAAATAGATACAGATGAAATAGTGTTTAGGATAGAAAATGTTGTATACTATAGGCAAGAAACTGATTCCAAAATTCCTTGCACTATGTTCATCATCAGAATGTCAACATACTAGGAGTCAAGATATTTCAGAATGTTGAAAGTATAGTGTTATATTGTACATACTATTGACACATTCTCTTGGCACCACAATAATCTAAAAGGCTGATAACACACATCACAGAATGGCCTTAGAGGTATTTCAGTCCAACCCTGTGTATAGTTAGGAATGTAGGGACTACAAGAGATATGTTTCTAACTTCTGTTTCTATTTCAACCAAAGGAAATTCCATTACATTTATGACTGTCTTTCTTGCTACTTTTATCCCAATGTTTAGTAGATTTGTGCAAAACCCTAAAGGGACAATGTCTTGCTTCACTGAAGGAATAGCTGAAGTATCCTTTACAAACTTTATGTTTTGTGAAGTAACACGCCCTCCCCCCCAAAAAAATCAAAATGAAGCAGTTATGTTATTTTGCTTTAGCTCACTTCTGAGTCTTCCTTCTATGGTTCTAAGAAATGGAAGAGGATTCTGCACAAAAGCTCCTTCCCCTTAGTCCAGGGCTGTCAAACTTGTGGCCCGCGGGCCAGAGGAGTCATGCACTGGCCACTCCCAAGCCTGGTTTAGCAAAGAGGAAAAAAATCCGGATACATCATGTGACGCTGCTATGATGCTGTGAGTTTGATACCTCTGTCTTAGTCAGTCTTTTGACTTCGTCTTCGGGAGGAAGTTGGTTACAGTATTGTTATGTGGAGCACCAGGGATCAGCTTCTTCAAGATACCTTTTCAGTCATTTGAAGGTTTTGTTAAGCATCGCTAAGTATGTTAGAGTTAAAAATTCTTTAGTTAATTTGTTTTTCCTCGATTAGCCCAATCACCTATCTCTGCATATATTCTTTTTTTTTTGTCCATTTTATTCATAAGATATAATGTCTAACACAAGACAGGACCCCAAAAGCAGCCTGACTAATGCAGAATAGCAGCTGTCTATTGCAGTGATTTGGATTTTGGATTAACATAGTTTAAAATGGGAGATTAAGTATGTATGTGTATATAGTTTTGACTTGCATTCAGTTTACTACTAAGATACCAAACTCCCCTATGTAATGCTCCCAAGTCTTTTATCTTTTATAATGACAAAAATGTGAAATTCATGTTTTAGAAGTAAGGTCCAGAATTTACTTCTTATTAAATTTGAAGGCTTTACCTGCTAAAGAAGAAGATACGGCATTCACTTTCCCTGTTTTCCCTGCCCTGGATGATGGCCCAAGTAGTGCCATATCAACATTAAGATATAACCAAGAAATATATATCTGATTTCCTCCACTGATTTTCTATACACTATATGTTTCTCACCCTTAGCAAGCTGTCTTCGAAATTCTGGGAGTTGAAATATACACCTCTTGAAGTTGTCAAGAGTGAGAAACGTTGCCATAGATTCTTCTCCATGGTGGTCTCCAGATGTTTTATTATTTTATATGTCATTTTTATTATTGAAATAAATTATTATAACTATATTGTTATATAAATAACTCAAGGCACCGAACATATTCAACACACCTTCCTCCTATTTTCCTCACATCAACAATCCTGTGAGGTGAGCCGAGTGACTGGCCCAAAGTCACCAAGCTGGCTTTCATGGCTAAGATGCGACTTGAACTCAGTCTCTTGCTTTCTAGCCTGTATATTAACTACTAGACTAAACTTGTGCATAAAGTGGTTGGAAATGAACCTAGCCTAAAAAATCTGTTCCCAAATTTCAACTACTTCCTCCATGGTGTTAAACTAATGTCCATTAATTCTTTTGTGATGGCATCATTGCCCTGTTGTTTCTTGGTGCTTGTGAAAATCTGCTTTGATTAAATATTGTCAATATGCAGGTGTGGTCCTACCACCTGAGAAAGCATAGTATTGAAAAGGATGCCAATGTGGGAACCAGATTCTGCAACAATCCCATATATCTAGCCTTTCCCCATATCTAAACCAACATATTCACAACAATCTGTGTCATGAAGTATGATTATGATTAGACAGACCTTTAAATGGAACAAATTTTGAGCAAAATAATTAAACCCTAAGTCAAGGTCATCTGGTTTTCTGCGTTTATATGATGCTCTAAATCAGGGGTGTCAAACTGGTGGTCTGCGAGGCAGATGTGTCACACACAGACCACGCCCACACCAACTCTGCCAATGGGAAAAACATTGCAAAACATCACAATGGCAACATGACACAGCGAGTTTGACACCCGTGCTCTAAATGATAATCCTCCCACACTGATGCTGATACAGTACAAAGAACAAAAAAATAAGGGCTGGTAGTTGGAAGGGAAGGCAGTAGGGTGCAAAAAGAAAGATAAATTCTTTAATAAATGCTGTGATTTCCTAAAAAATCTACCTCTTCTTATACAGAAATATGTATAACTGTTTTTCAGAGTTAATAAATCTTGAAAAGCATATAAAAGAATATATATATATATATATATATATATATATATATATATATATATATATATATATATCTTCCTGTGTTTGATGAAAGCTGGGTAACTCCTAGTATTTGCACTTATTTGATACGGATAATGTTAGTTGGAGAAGCCGAGTCATTTTGTTGTAATGCTATAAATATGTGTTCATTTGAAGCATGACCTCTACCCCAAGTAACAGATAAGATCATTGCTTCACAGGTTGCTTTACAAAGTGTATTTCCTAATAACTTTATTTTATTTTATTTACAAAAATGGAATGTTATTCCCTCTTGGGCCTCCATTAGCGAGCCTTCTTGCTTTTGTCTTGGCTCCCTTTCCCCTTCTCCCTTTCTATACTCAAAGTACTTGAAGGGAAAGCCGATTCTTGTAAGTTAAACTTCCAACTTCATATTTTATTTTTGACTGTTTCTGGAATCCCTAAGCATTCTTCGATCAGGGAAAGAAGAGTGAGAAGCTACACAGCCAATGCTGTCTTAGGAAGTGGGCATACCAACTCAAGAGAAAGGTAAACCAGGATGGTGGAGAACTGTGGAATTTAGGAATCAATCTAATGTCCTGATAAATGAATATAGACATGCTGGCCATGTCTATTAGGGCAAATCACTTTATACCATGTCCACAACATAACTTTCAAATATAATTTGGAGATTTTAGAAGTCCTGATTTAAACATTTTTTAAGATAACCATATGGGTAATTTTTGGAACTATGCTTCAAATAACAGAACAAGCAACTTCCGGCCTTCTTATTTTTCCAAAAGACATTAATTTTTTATCAGGAAGAATCATAGAAGTTTATTCTTATGAATTATGATTCCAAAAAGATGATTCCTGAAACCACCCACTGGGAGCCCTGGACTGTATAGTTATTCAGCATTAATATTTTTTTGAAATTGATTTTTCTATAGGAAGTAAAACAAATACAGCACTAGAGAAACATTGAACATTTCAATGTACGCAGTATAAAAGAAAAGGTGGGGCAGGACAATTACACTTTAGCCTATTTCATTATTTATTAATCGGGTTTTTAAAAAAATATTTCAATAAGTGAGGACAAATGTGAGGCTTAGTTGATCCCATAAACAGAACCTGAAAATCTAGTTTGGACTGATCCTTATTCAGTTTCCACAATTGAGCCAGAAACCTTTTCATTTCAAGGTAAACACTTTATTGAATAACCAAAATGTTTTGAATTAGGTACAAAAGTAATTGGAAGTTGGCCTGTCAAATTCGGCTTCTGAAGAACAGGCTCTGTTCCGTGAATCGAACTTCATATTTTGCTTTGAGATAATTCTAATTTGTACAAGATGGATTTTTCATGCTTTCTCATACACTCGAGTGGAGACAGTTTTGTTCATAACACACTCCTAGAAAGAAAAAAAGTACAGAAATATCACCATTATTTCATAACAGCAAAACAGTTGTTTTCAGTAACTGGATCAAATGTTCCTTTACCCAAATGAAGTATGAGACTATCAAGGAAGCCAAGACTTGCATTGATGCAACATGATAAGCCAATTTTGGCTTAGTGTATTGCATGACCCCAGGCAATGGTACTTTATTAAAAAAAAAACATATCCAAGGGAATAAGACTCAAATTGCTTAAGTCTGCTTATATGTGCTTATATCCTTGACCACTGAAAAATGCATTAGACAAATTCTCTCCAAAAAATGTTGCTTTTTTGGTGTGAAGAGAATTTGACTTAGTTTTCTGTTTAGCAACGGGCTGAATATTATGTTGTTAAATAGTTCTAATTATGCTTGTATGAAAGACTGAGAAATATTCAGAATATTTAAGCAAGTTTTTAAGGTACCTTTGAGTTTCCACAGTTCATAGGTTGTGCAAGTTGACATAATACCTTACTGCCAACATGTTTAAACATTTTGGTTGAAAAGACATTTGCTTAAGGCCCTTCCCTTGATGTTGTCACATAAACGATCAGTTAATCCAATTGTCTTGTTTGCACATGTGCTTGCATGCCAATTTCATCCTGAAATCTGAATGACCTCTCATTTTCCTGATACTGCTCTTGCCACAGCTCATACAAGGCAGGTTGGCATTATCTTCTCCAATTAGAAGAGTATTTCCAATTACTTTTCAGTGAGAAACTGTCTGCTAGAATGCTTTTTCTTTGCTATAATCAAGACAGCATTTCAGTTACTAGGATTTTCTTTTCATTTTGTCTTTTTGAAAGCATGTATGTGGTGCCTATGGAAAAGGTTTTAAATATCAAAAGAGTGGGGTTTCCCTGCATGTCCCACTAGAGATTACAGCAGGGCTACATGATTTCCAATTATTTTCAACCGCCCTTGATATCACTTTTCAATCTGATCCATTGCTCTCTTTTAAAATTATAGATTCTAAGTGTATAAACATGAGAATCACCAGTTGCCCACAGCTAGGGCAATTCATTTCCAATGAACTCATTGCTAGGGGCTGCCACTGAGTCATAATATTTAAAACCCGCTTCATTTTGAAATCATCCTATACTAAAACGGATGTTTGTTGCAAATTTATTTTAATTTGAGCCAATTTGAATGCATTCTCAGATTGAGAATGAAGAATGGTTGTAGTAGAGTCTAAAATAGTGCTCTCAAAGTGAGATTTGCCTTAAATACTTTAAAAAATAACATAAGATATACGGTTCTACTTTCAAAATAGCTTAGTATTGTCCCTCTGTATTAACTTGCTTATTAACTTCAAGGAATTCTTGACTCACCAACCAAAATAGGACACATCTTTCTTCTATAGGATAGAAGAGAATATCTACTTGTTTTGCTCTTTCCCCTTTGAAAAATGTTCATTCATAAACTTGCAATTTCTGTTGCTGCAAAACATCCCAAATGTTTATAACCAAAAATGAACTTACCACAACCAATTTACCATCCACTATTTTTCTTTTTATTACTGTCTCTTTGCCATCCCATTTCTGCACCTGATTGAGTGAGCCATTGTCTAGTGTCACAACACTCTGTCAAGAAAAATTATCTGGTCAGTTTTACAACCTAGTGAAGAAAAGGCAGCAAATTTGCCTTTGAAATATGTGAATCAATTTAGGTAAAATAACACAGTTCTCAAACTATGCATAATGTGCATTTCAGTAAGACAATAATCAGTAGTCAATGGGGTTTTTAAATAATGAAATTACTAGCATGGTGAAAGTTCTACTCCTTGTAAGACTATAATAACAGAAATAACATGTATATGTATTTGTATTTGTATATATATATGTATATCACATTACCCCGGGACACTATAACTGTTGCAAGTTTGAGACAGTTGCCAAGTGTCTGAATTTTGATCATGTGGCCATGGGGATGATGCTACAATGGTTATTAAAAATGGTCATAAGTCACTTTTTTCAGTGCTATTGTAACTTTGACTGGTCACTAAATGAACTGTTGTAATTTGAGGACTACCTGTACCTTTGTTGGCATCCACCAAGTTTCATGCATTGTCCAAATTTCACATCTAAAACCATTAATTTAATCTGCAGGAAATGGGCATGCTACTTGGCTGGCTGGGGAATTCTCAGAGTGAAGTTTACACATCTTCAAGTCACCAAGGTTGAGAAACATCACAGTTTACTTTCATCAGTGCTTTAGATCTCCAAGTGGACTGCATATTCTTCTTAATTAACAAGAACATGTGGCTGCAGCCCACTGTTTGACTTGGATGTCAACTGCCCTGAAATCAGCAAAACAGGAACATCTTGTAGGACGAAAGAGCTTAAAGCCCTTGTTTCCCAATTTAAGCTTGCTTGAATTCTTAGCCAACTCATTCAGCTGGTATTCATGTCCCACACGTTCCTTATTTTATAAATGTGGAAGTTCCCAAATAACCATTTTCCAAGAGGGTCCACAACACATTTTCAGGAGTCCAAATGTACTCAACCAAATGATTTAAGGGAAAGTAGAGAACTCACCTTTACTTTTCTGTCATCTGCTGTGGTCTCATCGAATTCTTCTTTTAATTTGAAGGAAATCTCAGTGTTTTTGAAACTGCTTTCAGTCTTGATGGTAATAACATCTCCATTGCAAGTGATAATTATATTGGGCTTGGCCACTCCAGCTATTTTCCTAGTGGCAAAGCCCACACCTACAAATCCAACCAAAATCATGAATTTCTTGACCTTGAAGACTGAATTGAAAAAAACACACACCCCTACTTATAAAGACTTGATTCAAGCTGGGTTATAGCCAAACCCCTAAAGAATGAGAGAGTAAAGAGTTTGAACACAAGAGTTCCTTTCCTACAGTCATTTTTATCCTGATGGGGTTTGCCTTTGATTAGAGCTTCTCTGTATAAAAATTCATCTGGATGTTTTAGGGCATGATGTGCAAACTAGATATTTGTTCGGGGGACCATCTTGAATTGTGTAGTATACTGAATTAGGTGATTCTATTGTTTGCCATAAACTAGGCTGAAAATAATATAGCAACCGTCCAATCCAATCTCTGTTCTCGTATGTTATTTTGTATAAGAAATCCAAAGTAGTTTCCATCAATTAGCTTTAATATATGTTTTCATAAATATCTAGACTGATTTCATTTGGTTTAGCTAGCAAATAGCATAAGATGGCTTTTTCTTTAAGGCAATATCACTATAACAATTACACAAATCCATCAACATTATAAATATTTAAATGAACCAAACTATAAACTGATGAGAGGAATATTAAAAACCCTCTTGACATCCAGGACAGTATTTACCCCAGGCTGTCACAGATTGTGAAAGATAATTTCCAAAAAACCATGGGAAAAGAAAATGTCAGAATCTGGTTGGTCCTATACAGCATCCCATTTTCTACACTGGGCAGTCATACATTAGTGAGAAATATTCAGCTCAGAAGTCAGGCTGTTACCCATCTCTCCAAACTGGTATTCAGGGGAAGCTTTCTTTTGGATTCTTAAAATAATATAGACTTGAATTATAAGATAAAGTGATGTCAACTACTGTGATCAAAAATTATACTGTTTCAGCAACAAGAAGTTTAAACAATGCAATTCATGCATAGCATGATAGCAAGTTATGACTTGCAGGAACCCATTAAAGGGCTTCCATGGTGATGGGACAATGTAGATGGGGTTTTTCAGTCTAAGGAGTTAGAACAGCTTTTTCTATCTTTGTCCAGAGCATAACCATTTGTTTTAAACAAGCACTTTACTCAATGCTTATTTACCAAATATTACCTTCATTTTACACCCATCTCCACTGAATTTTCAAAAGATTTGCTGCAAATATAACTTCTTGAAATATTATATAAATTAAGTTCCTTACTCTACATAATTTGAGATAATCCAGAACTGCATTATTTCATTTGAAGAAACATTCTTTGTAACAGCTGATCTCTACAAAAATGTAAGTAGAAGATTGCCCCCCAGGTTGCTTAGCAGCAGAGGCACCTGGGAAGCTACCTTACACCTAGGGAGAAAGTGACTTATTTTCACATAGCACTGAACTATGATTCATTTAAATGAAGCCTGCTTACTGAAAAATGCAAAAATATAATCACTAGAGGGGTGTAAATAAATGCAGATTACCTTTTTATTCCCATATTATCTATTCCAAGTTAAACCGTAGTTCCAGAAGTCTTCCATATCACTTATAGCTAGAAATGCTATTAGCCAGAAAATGAAGTGTAAAGCTTCTGCAAACAATCCAAGTGTTCCAAGATAAAACTATGGGCTTCCTTGAACTTGGTCCAAGAAAAGAGTGTCTAACAGATTTAGAGGTATCTTTATTCCTATATATAGTATTAATATTGGAAGTAGGCTATTTGCATACATTAATTTCACCATAGTTAAATAAGGGGCCAGCATTCTACTTTAAAAGTGTGATGGATAAACAATGCAAAGCTTCAGGCTAATTCTTTGAAGTATCATTAACATAAAGCAGGCATGTCTTGATAAGAACATTGCTACTAGTTCAAAGCCCATAGCTAGCCATTACCAAGCATCTCAAACCTTGTTCACATTTGGCCAGAGGGGAAAAAACCTGTAAGCTTTCATGTAAGGGAGCATCCCATCACAGCTGTTTGGAGTATTTTATTAACATTTGTATCAATGTTCTCAATGTATGTTGAGAAAATATCAGACAATAAACATTTAAGTAAACAAGTAGCAAGAGCCTTTCACACTCCTGAGGTACTTTACCTGGATACAAAAGCTACACAAAATCTAAACAGGATTGTATGTTTTTCTAATATTGAATAAAACAATTCCAGGGTAACATTCTACAGACTATTCATGCTATATTATTAACTGAGTTTGCACATTCAAAAAATAGTTGGGAGTCAGATAAAATGCAAACTAAATGAATTTTACTTAACATGCGGTACAACATTGGATTACTCTGGAATCTAGCATGTTAACGTAATGTAAGCAACAGGTTTTCCTCCACAGTACTATTAATAATAAAGAAAATAAGAGTTATGTTGTCCCAGGTTAAGTTTATAACAAAATAAGTCCACTAGTTACATACCTAATAAAAAAATCTATATAACCACATTCTCCAGCAAAAACAAAGCTTTTTACTAAATTCAACAAATGATTCTTACCCAGCTCCTTCATGTAGTCATCAAACTTTTCACTCGAAATTAATTTCCAAGTTCCCAAAAATGCTTCACACATTGTGAAGGACTAAGTCTTCTAATACACTCTAAACACCTTCCTGCAAACCTCGATGTAGTCACCACTTCTGTGACTAACCTCACTGATGCCTTTAAAAAGAAGCTTTAATCATGTGATTTTCTGCTATTAGCCAATAGTCACACAGGCAATTAATAGCTTTGATTTAACTTTTTTTTTCCTTAGTGGGTCATAGTGCTTTTAGGCATTAGGACAAAGCATTACCAGCATATAACTATTATGTTTTGTTCTAGCAGCAGTAGTGATTTCTGCTACTTTTTCTCTCCCCCCCTCCCAGTTATACTGTATTTGGTATGACTAATCCACTGCATAAAATGCACTGATCTCTGCACTGATCTAGCTATTTGCTGCAAAATTATAATTACATACAATGAATAGCACAATCCCATGCATGTCTGTTCAGCTGTCAATTCCACTGGGATTTACTTCAAGGGAATTGATTTCCACATAAGGTTTGGAGAACTCTTTGTGTCTTAAAGCTTTCAGAATTCTTTTTTAAGTTTATGTATGCAATGAACATCAAACAAATATGCTTCCTATCACTATTTACCTTGATTGTGGTGATAATAGGATCCTTAGATTTGCTGTAGGTATTTTAATTATCTCTATGTGAATTATAAATTGGTCTAATCCTGAAGAGAACAGATATTCAGTCAACTGTTTGACACAACAAAGAGCATAACATTTTATTCAGAAGAAAGAAAAGTGTGCTGCATTCATTTTAATGAGTGGGATTTTTAATGACTAGAAGAAAGACACTGTGCTTTTGTGAGGTTTGAAGCATTTCTTCTGAAACTATCCTAATTTATGTTTTATTTGGTTTTAGCTTATCATGTTGTATAAACAATCAGTTGTGGCTTGTAAGCATGGTTTATGCAGTGTGTTGTGTGAACCCAGCAAATGAAATAATTAGTACAAACTTTTCCAAAAACCATACAATCCAATTAAAATGGATTTCCTCATTGGTTGGGATGTTAATAACATCAAGTTAGGGAAAATTGTATTATTACTGAAATCAAATGTTAAAATAATAATTTTAGAGAATATTTTTCTACTCTTTTAAGCACTGCCTTATATTGCAGAAACAATATACAAATATGTTGATTCCTAACATAAGGAAACAAATCTTTGCAAGCATGTCTTAAATTGTAGGAGCTGTATCACCAAAATTCTCTTCGAGGAAGGATATTTTTGAAAGAAAAAGGAATTATGGTAACCTATTTTCTAAAGCATCAGAAGGCAAGACAAGAAACAATGGATGGAAACTAATCAAGGAGAGAAGCAACATAGAATTAAGGAGACATTTCTTAACAGTGAGAAGACTTAACCAACTTGAATGGCTTGCCTTCAAGTTGTGGGCACTATCACTGGAGGCTTTTATGAAGAGACTGGATAGCCACTTTCTGAAATGATATAGGGTTTCCTGTTTAAGCAGTGGATTGCACTAGACTGGAAGACTTCCAACATCCTTTCCAACTCTGTAAGAATTCAAACTTAAACTTCCTTAAGAATGCATCTGGGCTACTATTATTGATGGGCCAACTCATGAGAAAGTTGTTTCAGGATTGCATTCACACAGTCTGAGCCTTTGCATTATTAAATAAGTATAAATAAAAGCTATACATGCCTATTTGGAAGTACAGTACATTCTATTTTAAATTTTACAGAAAAAAATACACAAAGCACTAGAAAATAAAATAAATGAAAAACTAAACAGACAAAAGACAAAAAAGGGAGGAAGATTACAAAGTATAGAAACCTGCTGAAGCCACTGAAAAACAGAGTATTTTTTTGATTAGTGGATAAGACTATCTTTTCAAAAATAGAAATCACAGATCTCTTAAATCCAATCCTAAATCTCAGGAATATTACTGTTTTTCAAACTTAATAATAATTCTTCAAAAATAATTACCTTCCAAAGTTTCAGAACATAATTTAACACCAACATTCTAGACTAAAAATTCCTCAACTCTATGTATATTGAAATATTACTCTGAAAATATTTTAGTGATTCACAGGACCAAATCATCAGTCAATAACCCCTCAAAATTTTTATATCACCAACAGATATTAATCCTTTAAATCCTTTAAAATTTGGGGTGTTCAGCACAGTTTAAATGAATCTTAATTTTATATCCACAGAAGCAGCTTTAATATTTCGAAGAACTTCAAGCTTTGATGTGTTCCAGTTCTTTAATTCATGAGCCATAGTACTGACTTTAAAAATATTTTAGTTTTGATATAGTTATGCACATCATAACTGCTGAAAATTTGTTATTTCAAAGGCATAAATATTTTTATTTTTAAAAATTTAAAGCATCCAATGAAGAAAGGGGAACATGCTTGCTTCAGGCGTTACATCCCAAATACAATAAATTGTTGCAACCACCATGGAAATTGTAGAGATGTATTAATCCCTTTCCTGTTATATCGCCAAAAAGACATACTATGGCAGAACCATACATTTTAGCTCAAGCTCACTAAGCTTTCTTAAGATCTCGTGAATATCCCTGGAAATTACAAATATTTGATCATGCATACCTAGGAGGATTTATGTGGATTTCTGGGTATAGGGTTCATGGAATTGGCCTTTTTGCCAATTATGTCCTCATACCCCTTTCTAAAATAAATGTTTCAGTGTCTTTATTATTTTGAAGATAGAGTTTAATTCTGCCTATTTGAGAATTATACATTTTATTGGATTACTAGAAAATGAATATAAATGTTCACTTTTGCATAAAATGTCATAAAACCTAAATGAAATTGGTCCCTTCCAAATGTGATTGGACATCATGTGGAGAATTCCCAGTCAGGCTGACCTTTAGTAAAAATACTATTTTGGGAACAATATTCATGAAATCATATTTATTTTTAGAAAAGAAATGAACTTTGTTCCTAATTTTTTTCCTTTCTGGCTCCTAGCTTGAACTATTACTTGCTCTTTTTTCCCTACAAGGAAAGAAAGATTTCATTTCTCAGCTTCACTTTAATAGAAACTACTTATCCTATTATTCTTCATTATCAACAGCTGTCATTAAATGTGAGTTTTCTGACAAAAGTCCTGAAAATATTCCAGGGCCATCATATCTAGACTGCAACAATCTGGATGACCACTAAGTGGCAGCAAAGATTAGAAACCCCAAATTTAGTGGTGGTGATCTGGGCTTTTGCAACTCAGCTAAGATAGCTGTAGGTTTATGTTAGGAAGGAACATAACAGACAAAACTCTCTCCATGTTGGAAGATAATGCCCCATAATGCTCCCTAAGACAATGCCAGATTGTAGCCACTCACTTGCACCATGAAGCACACTGCTGCTTTGCAAAAAAACCGAATCACTTTTAGAATTTACTTAAAGATTGTATTGCTACCCATCTTAAAACAGTTCTGGTTACTCACAACTACAATACCCCCCCCCCCCAAAGGTATAAAACTCATAAAGCTGTAAAACACAACCAAAAATCAATGCATCTGCCATCTACTTGGGATGCACCAACAACTAACACCAGGCACTCTCACTCTACCCTAACATCTAGATAAAATGCCAAGTTTTAAGGGCCTCCTGGAATGCTAAAAGGTTGGGGAGGGGCTACTGGATTGCCTGGGATAGGATGTGCATATGGTAGGAGCAGTCATGGAAAAGGTACACTTTTGAAGTTCCACTAGAAGATGCTAACATTTCAGGGAAAGGACCTGTAGCATGCCTACTCTACCTAATCAGGTAGGATAAGCAGATATACTCAGGGAGTAGAGATTTAGCACACAGGGCATCTCCATTGCACGTCATATAAATGCAGACATATATTGTAAATGAATAAGGCTGCTTCCTACGTCTGTGGTAATAGGTAGACACATCAATTGATGGAGATGCATCTTGTGCTAATGAAGCTGTTTTGGAACTTTTTTGTTTTCCCAGACATTTTAATTGATGTAATTGTCCTGACCACTGTCTCCCACCCCCCTGCTTTCTTTGTTTATACTGCTATTATATGGTTTTACTGTTTTTATATGATGATTTATCGCCACCCTGACAATATCTGGGAGAGCAACATATTCCCATTTTTTGCTGTGCTTGGTGTGATATGGATCTTGAGTTGTAATGTAGACTTTGGGGACAAAGAAGCAAGTACTATAATGCCCAATTTATTGTATGAGAAAACAGACTTCAATGCTTATTAATTTAACTTTTCTGTGAAATCACTGAATCTCTGCTTCTTGGAATGGGATTTTGCTTGTTGTTTCAAATATTTGTATTTTTACTTGCCACAAACCAAATCTTATCCATATTTGACCAACATGAATTGTAGTTAACTACTGTTAATACCTCAAAATAAGAGAGAGGACAAGGGTTCTTGAAATCTATCTGCTGCATATCCTGTTCATTTTTCCGTAGGAATAATGACTCATGTTTCCATAATATCTCAGATTAAGAATCCTGCAGCATTATACATCTTGAACAAATTTTCAACAGGAATGACCTTGATTTTAGAGAAGCTGGTAAAACAGCAGAAATATATGGCAAGAGTAAATACCACCATTTTGATTTAGGCTTGAAGCATAACACCAACTCAGGTGTTTCCATTTTCCCAGCTACAAGGATTTTATGCTAAAGCAGTTTTGTATCTGACACTGTTTTTAATTAAAAATAATTAGGAGGAAAGGCAACATTGTTGCAGACTTCCTTTGAAGCTCCTAAATGAATGAATCATTTTGCCATGCATTCTTCCAGATTAATGCCCCATGATTGTTGCTGCCTCAGTCATCAGCAATTTGTGGTTCATAATCACTGAACCAGATGAATGATGTCAAGAAGCCTGCAGTGAGAAAATTGGTGATGGAAGTCACCTTCTGCTCTTATGATTTCCAGTGCCCTGCTTTTTAGCAGAAAGGCATAGATCAAAGTATAAATGAAACCTTTTTTTTACTTATGCCAAATAATCCAAACACGTTTATTATATATCAGGTATAGATGTACATATTAAGAACAAGGTGAGTGTAGTGATTATGGCATCTGGATAAAAAGCTGGAGACTATGAATTGTAGTCCTGTTTTAGACATAAAGCCAGCTGAGTGACCTTGGGCCAATCATTTTCCCTCAGCCCTAAGGAGACAGTGGCAAACCACTTCTGAAATCTTGCCAAGAAAACTGCAGGCACTACGCTAGTCTAGGCAATCACCAGGGGTCAAGATTGATTCCAAGACAACTGTGTACACACACACAAAACATGTACATAGGATAAAAGCTTGCTGCTTTCACTGTTTTGTTTGTATCTTATTTATTGGATAGTAGAAAAATGACAGATTTCCCTTGAATACAATGAACTTTCCTGCTCTTTTTGTTCTGTAAAATGTACTTTTCAGGAGTTAGGAGCTTTGTTAAAGACAAAGCAGCCAGCAGAAACAAGTAGAAACTTATTTTAGTTTCTGCATATCCATGTATCTAACCATGTTGCTGAAAGATGGATCCCAGAATCCATTTGATTATTGTGGCTGACTCGTATATTGGGAGTTGTATTACAAATGTGGAGGACTGCAGTTTCCAGTTGATAGTTATGATTGTTATATTGTTGGAAAAATTTGAATGGTTTTCTCCAAAATAATTACCCGTTTTAAAACTGCATCTTACAATTAATAGAACTGAGCAGAGGTTTGGAAATAACTTAGAAGAATTAATTAAGAGTGTAAATATACCCCTTTCTGCAATTCTTCAAAACAGCTGCATCTTTTCTAAGGAATGGATAGCAGTTTTCTGCAGCTACTAAAGATCCAAGGAAAAAATGCAATTTTGTAGAGTTCCAGAAAAAATGTTGTATTCATGCTTCTGTGTGCTCTGAAGAACCTCTTTGAGACTGAATTTCAAAAACTCTCCAATCCTAAATATCTTACTTCCTGTACTTTATATTGCAAAACAATGTTGGACTCTACTGAATTAATATTATGACTTCATTCCACATCCACATTCCTTTTTATAGGCTTTTTTTTTGAGGTCGGGCTGTGATGGCGTATCTATGGCGCGCATGCCATAGGTGGCACGCAGAGCCCTCTCTGTGGGCACACACATGAAGAGCAGCTGGCGACAGTGTGTGTGATTTTTGGATTTTCTGTTTCTTCCCAATCCACATTTTTAAATGATCACTATTTCATGAAGAGTTCTGAAAAACCTGAAATCTGCATACTTTTAAAAATAATTTGATTTTCCTAAAAATAATGCCATAATAATGTTTTTTTTTCCTCTCATGGATCCATGTTGCTGCATTTCTTTATTCAAAATGGTGTGCTCCCAGTTTACCATATGCAGATCTTTTTGGAGTAGCTTGATTTTTGTTTGAGTTTTAAACCTGTTAATTCCCAGAAGAGCTAGCAATCATGATGAAGTGTTTCATTTATATATACTCATTACATTTGCTGACATTTAAAAAAAAATATAACACATTTGGAAATACCAACAATGATATCATGAAAGAAACTCATACATTTCTTTGCTATGTCTTCAGACAAGTCGGTCAGCTTTATAAATTGAACTCTAGCTTCCTTTTTGCATACTGTATTCTGACCTTAGTTCTACTTGTCAAGTATAATCCTGGCTGTTTCATTCTGTGAAAATACAAAGACACCCCCTGCTGGTCTGGGTGACAAGCATAAACCTCTGATTATACTCCCTAAACTTTCATAACAATTTTGCTAATTGATTACCTGAATCATAGTGACATGCAGGGATAACAATGTGTATTTGCATTTGATTATTTCATACAGCAGATGTCAAGATGTTCTTGTTCTCTATTCAGAAATCTTTCTTTCAGGAGAATATAAGAGTTGCTGGCCAAACACCTGGCCTCTTGAACCAGTACAGTATTCTCTGACCAGATACCATTTGAAGTCACGAGCAGGACTCTGGGCCACCACCATCTCCCGCCAAAAAGTAACATTTACAGTGCATGGAGCACTTTCACATTTGATGGCCACGTTCTCTAAAAAAATGTCTCTGCTCTCCCTTGAAGGAGCGTACCAATTATCTTGGGGCAGGGTGGGAAGAAGGAAGAAAAAAATTAAAAATAAGGTCAAAATACCAACTTGGTGAATAATTGAGGATTTAAAGAAAGAGCTTTTATTGACAGGCATTTAGTCTATTCTTGATCTATGTGATAGTGTACATTTTAAAAATATTTTACATTTTTAAAAATGTCATCTTCCTGGAAATCCAAAGTTCTTGTGGCCTCCTTTGGGCGTACAGTACAGTAAAGAACAAAGCAAAACGTTAGAGGCTCTAAATTTGATCTCTCTATCCAAAAAGGGGAGCACTGTCAGATTTGCAAGGTAAGTTGGAGAAAAGTATTTTTTGTTTTAGTGCTTCCACCCACTTACCTGCCAATATTCTTATTCTTCCTTCTTTCTGCTCTCTTTTTGCAAGGATGGCAACGGTGCGGTTAAAATCAAGATGGAAGCCACAAGCCCATGATTGAAGCTCTTTCCCTTTACATGCATCAGTATGTGCAAAAAGGGTTAGGGCTTGGATTTCAGCTGCCATCTTGATTTTCTTTTTAACCTTTTCCAGGATACCTTTGTTCTTTTGGCCTAGGAGAGTCACATTCCATTTCTGATAAAGAAGCGTTTAGAAATCAAGGCAAAATGCTTTGCCTGAAATGCAGGGATGGGAACATCCTGCCTTTCTGAATTGCTGTCTGCTATACAACTCTTAAAAGTAAATGAAGTCTCTTGAAATCTCTTGTTTGCGTTAAGTTCTATTCTCTTAGCTGACTCAAATTACTGAACAGATAAGAGGCCAATGCAATGCAATATCCTGTTTGTGTTGAACTTACTTCCTGAGTCTTCCAAAGTAATGGAAAGTCCTACTGCTAAAAATAGACATGAGCCTGCTTTGTGCATAATATTAAATCATTATAACTTTTAAAACAAATTGGAATAAAACCAAACTGTGGTGTGGTATGAACTTCTGTTTGTCCTGTCATGAGTTATAACAGTACATCTGTGGGTACTGTTTTCATTTCATTTCACTCTTCAAGGGTTCTTTTAAACAACGTTTTCCAAGGCAGTAAGAAATAATAAACATTTAAATGTGAATCAAAGCAGAACTGTAAAATAAAGCACGATCGTGACAGGAAAATATTTGAAGCCAACATTAAAATAATCATCAGCATTGCCATGAATAGTTTGTGAAAAATTAGTGACTAGAATCTAAATATTTTGTTTGGTTTGGCACAGTTGCCCAGCTATCCTGGATTACTGAGAAAGCTAGGATGAAAAATGACATGTTTTTACTCTGCACTTAGCCAGTTTCACCAGTACCAAAAAGCCCACATAGATAACCAGGATTCTTGCTAGAAATACTGACCAATCAAGGGTTAGGGCTCATAGCCACACCTTGGAATATATTGGGAAAGAAATGGAAAATGAATATGCAGTTATTTATCCATTTTAAACTAAGAAGTCCTATGTTGGCTTTAGTTTCTAACTGATTTCTCCCTGGGACATTCCTTGGAGAAATTCAAATAACATAACTTTACATGAATCCATGATGCAGCTACCATTGTGAAAAATCTATCCAGTGTTCCATTCTTCTTGAACATTCTGTCATGTTAATCCACAGATCTATTCATAGGTTTTTTTTTTCTATATCATAATTAAATGATGGTGGAGCAATTCTTGGGAACCTGGAAACTAATCTCGAGTGAAAACTTTGACGACTACATGAAAGAACTGGGTAAGCAAGCACATTGCAGAAAAAAACCCTAAATTTTCAGAGATAACCAGATTTACTTGTTTCTTAGAATTATAGACTGTTTTTTATCCAACAGCAAAAAGTAGCATATATAATGTGCCATACTCCATTTTTCTACGTAAAAATGTGAAGTGCAGTAGAAACTCTGGTCACAACCATATTCGTTCCATAACTTTGGTTGCAACCCAATTTGATTGTGACCCGAATCTAACCAAAGTCAATACAAAATGAATGGGGCCACATGTGGTTCACTGTTGTTTGTAAACAAACAACAGGAAATTTGGTGCTTACAAAAAACCCAGATTTGGTCATGGTCAAAAGCGTTTGTGACTAGAGGTTCTAATATATGTTGGATTGACAAAGAGTAAGAATGAATAACTGATCCAAAGTCAGTGAACTTGCAATTTTGGGTCTTCCCAGTGCCAACTTTTCAATCACTACCTTTTAAAAGTGTGTTGCCTACAAAGGAATATCAGATATTTCTGTTTCCGAACATTGGAACAAATACTATGAGATACAGTAAAATAATGAAGTGTATTTAAACTGCAAAAAATAGGACTAAGAAGCAGCATGATAGCATCCTCTAGCCATTTAAAAAGAGAGTTGACTTGTTCTCTCTTGGTAGGCTGGGAGTTGCTAGGCTTGCACTTACCTAAGGAGGTCTAAAGTATTTCTTCAAAAAATGTTTGAAACCGAACAGAGCTATAGTAATTACTTCTAATATTCCTTAAAATGGCAATTTCCAATCTGGTGCTCCTTGAATAAATTGGATTGCAGTATCCATTATCCTTAATTGAAATGGTCATTGCCTTTTCCAATTCAGTACTTTCCAGGAATATTTTTGATTAGACTTTACAGGTATAGTTAGAAGTTGTAGATCAACATGTGTGACACCTATCAGGCTAAAGAATACTATTTGTCTTGGATATTTTATTTTTGCTTGCATTTGAAGATTACTAATCAAATCTACTAAACAAAATACAATTATCCTAAAATCCAAATCTTGATTGTCTAAATTCCTCCTTCTGCACACTGAAGTAGAACATATTGTGTTTTTTAAAAAGTTTTATTTAACCAAGCCTGCAATCCCATACCAGATTTGGAAAATATGAAGATTTAACCATTACTAGGATGAAAATAAAGTGGAATTTTATGGTTCACTAAAATATGTTAATGAAAAATTAGAAACTATACTATATACCAGTGAGCAATGTGTCATTTATTTTACTTTCAATAAGTTTTAATTCACCTTTTAAATATTGTTTGTATTTATTTTTTACTTTATCTGTTGTTTTTCTAAAAGATATGTATTCTTTCTTAGAAAAAGGGTGGCATATAAACCAAAGAAATGCTAATAAAAATGAAAGTTTTCAAACCTGAGTTATTTCTAAGTAGGCCTTTAAAACATTGGATAATATTTCATATTTTGCATTCTGTAGGAATAAGCTTTGCCCAAAGACAACTGGGTTCTCTAGCCAAACCCAAAATAATCATCACTATGGACAAAGATGTCATCACCATCAGAACAGAAACTATCTTTACAGTTAATGAGATCTCTTTCCAACTGGACCAAGAGTTTGAGGAAAGAACAATAGATAACAGGCTGGCCAAGGTAAATATTTCTAGGTTTTATTCCCATGTTTAAGAAGAAGAGATAGAATAACTTGCTATATAACAGAATCATTATTAGGATGTCAGTCTAGTGGTTTAAGTACCAGACTAGAAAGCAGAAGATTGTGAGTTCAAATTTGGCCTTAGTCATGCAAGCCTGATGGGAGACTTTGGGCCAGTCACTCTCTCTCAACCCAACTCACCTAAGGGGTTGTTGTTATAAAGAAAATAGGAGGAAGAAGGAAATATTTGCTGCCTTGAGTTATTTGTAAAAATGATAAAGGTGGGTTTCCAATAAACAAACAAACAAATAAATGTCAGCAAATGAAAAATGGGATGTATGGGGGGGATGAACGAAGGGGTTCATTTAACAAGAAGGGAAAAAGAAACCATCTTCCCCATAACCTCCTGTGTATTTTTAGAGCATTGTAACAAAGGATAATGACACCCTCATTCACACACAGAAGTGGAATGGCAACCACACTACTCTCAAAAGAAAAATAGTAGATGGAAATATGGTGTTGGTAAGTTTATTTCAATCTACCTTGCATTTTAATTTATTTAGTTCTATATAAAGTTCCACAAAGATTTGAATTTAGAGGAAACATCATGTACCTCATTGTTCCTATGGCATTCCCAACTTTCAACATAACATTTCATTTGTTCTCATTTTTTGTTATTATCTTAGTATTATTTTGTTAATTATTAAATCCACACCATATGCCAGGAATTGGGGGATGTTCAGAATACCCTAGCCCTAACAGCTACCAAGGAGATTTTAGGTTTCTTCAGCTATAACCTGCAGACAGTTAAACTCAGTGTGAGCTGTGAATTATGGTTTGTGTGAATTCAATCCTTTAATGCTTTTTACGTATTTTTCACTTTATGAACTAGACTCAACTATTTTTAGAATTAAAAAATGACAATTTTGGGGAAGAGGGATAAAGAACATTTTCTTCAAACCGTAACCTCTAAGTCACTCTTATATTTGAAGTAACCTAATCTATTTAAAAGTTTTCGAGAATAATTTACTAGTTTGGAGTAGGAGAACTACAGGTAGTCCTTGACTTACAACCACAACTGGAAAAGTCTTTACTTTGTTAAGCAAGGCTTTGTTAAGTGAGTTGCACTTGATTTTACAATTATTATTATTTTTTGCTAAGATTGTTAAACAAATCATTGTAATTGTTGAATGAATCATGCGGTTGTTAATTTGGCTTCCTTCATTGTTTTTACTTTTCACAATCAGGCTGGGAAGGTCACAAATGGCAATCAGGTGACCCCAGATGCTGCAATCCATGCTAATTGCCAAGCGCATGAATTCTGATAATGTGGCCATGGGAATATAGTTACAGTTGTAATTGTAGGACTGGTCATGGTTACCTTTAACCATGGTTAAAGGTTACCTTTAAAGTGCTACATGGCACAGGGCCTGGTTATCTGCCGGACTGTCTTTTCCTAAGGACATCTATCCATCTTACCAGATCGGATAGAATGGGCATGCTCCTATTCCCGTACCTTAAACATTGCCATCTTATAGGATTTAAGAAATATGACTTTTCCGTGGTAGCACATACCCTATGGAACACTTTCCTCCTTGAAGTTCAACAGGCCTCTATCCTCCGAGACTTAGAAAAAGCACTGAAATCCTGGCTTTTCCTTCAAGTTCTTGAGTAGGATAAAGTGCACGAGAAGATTTAGCAAGGGACTATATGTGAAAGCTTAACTTTAGTGCCAGGTTTTTAACATTGATGGGTTTAATTGATATGCATACTATATTGTTTCCATCAATGTTGTTTTAATTGGTGATTGGGAGCCACCCTGAGTTTGATAAAATGGGTGATTATACAAACATTTACTGTAAAATAAATAACTACACCCCTAATTTTGTAGTCTAGACCTCTTGGTATTATTGTTGCAAACATTACGGCCACTGCAGTGCATACCTGACTCAGTATCTGCTTCTCGTTTTGTAGGGTCAGCACAATTCCTGTCAGGTTGTTTCAGGTTTTGGAATTTTTTTGGTTTATTGTTTTGCTTTATTGTAGTCTACTCTGGGATTGTGATGGGAAGCAGGTGAAAACTTGATCTAAATGGATGTTAATCATAGTACATTTACTAGGAATTTCTGAGTACATGAAATTCCTACTACCATCTTTTTCTCTTCTTCCAGGAATACATCTTGAATGATGTCATTTGTACCAGGGTCTACAAAAGAGTATAAGATCATCCCCAGGTTATATTTTTCTGCTTCTTATTCTTCAAGTGATGTCAATGTTAACTATGATGCTTGTATGCAAAAAGAAATAAAGAATTTCATACTGAAATAAGATTGAAGAGAAACAAGTCCAACATCTTAATCGCTGTTATTTATCATAGAATTACTACTTTCTTAATGATCATAGTTGCTGAACTGATTTTGATATTCTTCTTACAACTAACCTCTACATTGGGACCCACTATGCAAGTTGAAATCAAACCAATACAGAATAAAGTAAAACTGTTGGGTTTTTTTTAGCTGAAAAGGCAGGCTCTTACCATAAGTTAGAATCACATCAGTCTTTGAAGTTTCATTACATTGCTGATTCAGGTGTGATACTAAAGTAGAAGTAGAATGAAAAGATCACCATGAGAAGTCGTGCATCAATGGTTGCACAAAACCTTTACTGAATAGATCAGACAGAATGTGACATACTCACACCCACATTTTTTTTTTAAAATAAAATTTGACAATTCTTCATTTTGAAATTCAGTTAATCAATCTGATAAAACTACACAACATAATATGTTGGATTTGAGAATCTGTCTGGGGGTTAGGAATCTTTTGGGACCAAATCACTTTTGTTGTTATACTGTAAAAATATAAACAACCCCTCCCCCATATTTTAATTGCCTCATAATTGATTGCATGATTTTTCCATAATTTTGTGGCACGAAATATATAGAGACTGTTGCGTAAATCCTCTAAGTGGGGGGAAAAAAATCAAATTTCAGAAAACTAGGAAAAAAGATTTTGCTTTGTCTACTTTATAATTGCTCTGCTAGTTACAGCCCCCCACACCTCACAATCAATCAGAAGTGGCAGATATTTCAGTTTAGTCTATCATAAATATAAAACATCTAGGCAAAACAGAAGCCATTTGAAATGAGTGAAATGAGTCCCTCTACTGGCTGACTTAAGTAGGAGTAGCTGGTCCAGTTTCATGCATTTGGGGAACCAATTTAATAAATCAAAGAAAACATATTTTTAAAATGAAAATGAGGGCTATCCATTTTTTCATTTTTTTCTTTGTCATTCTTGTCTTTCCATTTTGTAAATCTTTTTTCTTGTATGGTCTGTAAACTAATTTACAGACCATACAAGGCAACAGTGTACAATATATTGTATAATGGTAGTGCTGTTTCTAGCAATTATATTTAGAAGATGGGACAAGAGGAAAGAGTTCCAGAAGTAGTTTAAGAAAACCATTGTAATGATTTTTAAAAAGATTAATAAATTGCTAGAAGCTGGAGCTTGTAGATTTTTGAAAAGAATAGGAAGCAGAAAAAACATTTAAAGAGATAATTTATAACTGAAAAAACTGATCTTTATTTTAAACATGAGCTCACATTTTAAAACAATTTGTACATTTTACAATATAAATCAATTTATTACACTATTCTAAACTCAGATATTTTGCAGAAGTCCAGGTATTCCTATTTGACTTGTTCTTTACCAAATCTTGTTTCCACACAACAATTCACAGAAGTGGATTCCAAGTCACCCAGAGTTAAGCCAGAGATTGATACGCAAGTAAAATCAACAGGAAATGAGAATTAGGCTAAGAACAGTTTATTTCTACACGAGGCTAAACTCAAACAATTTGAAAGGAAATGATCTGGAAAAACAAAACTTATCAGTGAAAATTATATGTATACTTATCAGTGCTTTGGAACAAACCATTCTCCCAATATGCCAGAGCTTGCATAGGTATAGTTAAAGTGAGAAGACTAACATAATAAAATTTTCAACCCAAAACACAAGAAGATTAAAAAATACGCATGGAAAAACATCAGGAATCTTTTCAGGGCTAGATAACATTGTATGAACTTGTAGGAAAGGCACCCCCAACAATTGAAAACAGTTGTAAACTTTGGCCTATTTGTATTTTTAAAACATTTTTACTTCATTTCAGAGACATTAGGACACCTGGATAGTTGATGTCTGTTCACATTCCGTTGCTAACCCCTGGAATAAAATAGGTTGAAATCTTACATTTATGATTTATCATCAATGTGGGAATATGTCATTAGTATATCCGAATTATTCTGTCATGCAAATCTTTGTGTCAAAGTTATGGTTAGATTTGAGTCCTGCACATCACCAGCATCAATATATGATACCAACCTTCTAGATGTCATAAAGGTTTGTAAAACCTCTTCACATCTTCAATTATAATTTTTCCCCACTAGTAAATATAGCACTTATCAAGTAATTTACAGTAAAACACTCAACTGCACTTCAAACATTTAGAGTAATTCCTAAAAGAACCAGCTTTTTAGCCTATTAGAAAATGCAACATCTTGTGGGACCTTAAAAACAAATAAATAGATCACACTTTTGTGGGTCAAGGCCCATATTATGTCACTGATACATGCAAGTTTATACAACATATTGAATTACCCATTGCAAGGCAATCTGCTGCACTGAAATACTTATTTACCTAGTATTTCTAAAAGTGAATCCAACTCTGGATTAAATATCTACTTCAAATCATCCAGTTTATGAAAACTGGAAATAAATGATTAAACCACACATATATTCACATACCCAAGTAAAATGCCTAATTCAATAAAAATTCAATATTAAAAAAAAACCACTTATTTGATTGTTGCCATTCTAAGAGACCAAAATACACTCACAGTGCTTAATCTGATATAAAATACTGTTGTGTTATTCTACTCAAATCTAGGTAATTAAGATTTTTATTTTTAGTTCGGTCATATCTTCTGTTCTGCCACTGTGTTTGCTATATACCCCATACAATACTCAATAATTAGTATTGCAGTTTATGGAAACTCTTATAGAAACGATGAATAAAGTAGGCATGTAAGAGGAAAGTTAACAGAAAGCATTCTTTCCCTATAAATAGGAAGCATCAGTGGGGAAGATTTTTCAAACAGTGAATTTTCCCAGCATGTTGTTCCACAGATATTTAAAACAGTACATCCATTATTAAGCAAGGAAATCAAGTTGGTGGAGAAAGAACAACCTGATCATGGCAACTGCAAGGGGAAAGAGGAAAAAAGCATTGGTGCATCTCTTTACCTTTGGTCTGTCTTGCCCTTAAAAGTTTCCCCAATCCCTGTATAACGATCAATACAGTCCCCTACACTACAAAATGAGTCTTCATATTTCTATATTTTGTGTCAACAAATTCTTTTAAAAATTCATTTCCATTTTAAATGAAATTGTCTCTCTTACAACATTTGGCTAGGGATTTTATTCTTTTTCCTTATAATATACAAAGGAAGAAATGGCACATGGAACTGTACGGACAATCAAACTTGTTCTGAACTATTAATTATATAAATGAATTACTCCATCCCCTTTTGCACCATATCCCATTTATTTTCTTGACAGAGACAAGAAAGCATGACATTTAAAAATGTGCCACACACACGATAAATACTAAAGAAATGTTAAAAACATTGGAGAGGGGAAGGATTTCAGCAACATATCAAAATGGATTACTGAGCTTATATTTACTCAGGTACAATGGGTGAGCATCAAATAAGTTCTTTATGAAATAGAGGCCATATGATAAGCTATTTAATTCACTGCATCATCCCTTTGCCAAGGAATTATCTGGATCTCTTTTGCTATCCGCTCTGCTATTGCTTGACAATTTGCAGCAATGATCCTTCTTGACATCAAATCAAATGGTCCTCCTAGAAAAACAAATACATACGTCTATTGAACACACGTCTATATATCTGACTTATTTTTACTAATTCACTGATAAAGTGACCTAAATCAGCAGGGATGCAAACTGAGTATTTTCTTAAACTATATTTGCCTGTTATTTCCAATTATATTCAAATTCAAAGCAGAATTCATGTCTTTTCCTCCAACAAGAATTCTGGCCCAAAATAACGCAGTGAACTTCCCTGGCTGACAGTTGATTAATTTGGCTCCCCAAATGTTCAATCAGCCTCCCTGATCATAGTCCAATACTTTCTACCACACCACAATGATTCTCTGGTCCAATAATCACGACAAGAAACAACTTCATGTACAGTTTTCAAAATCCTGCAGTACAGAAAAAATGATGACTAAATAAATTTTCAGTCTTGAATGAAATGTTATCAACACCAATTCTTTATAGGCACTGAATCCTAGTGTGAGAACTAGCTTTACAAATTAAAAGTGGGAAAATCTTACGTCAATCACAAAGTAGCCATATTCACATGGCATTTCTAGAAAGATCTTTCTTGTTGTGGAAGCTGTATTACTGTGTGTACAATTTCTTAATTCCCATTTTGTTTGTCACCTAGCAAAGCAGTGGTGGGTCAGTTAGTATTTTCAACTGAGTTACAGTTTGTATATTACAAAGGAAAAACAAAAATCAGGATAATTCTTATTTTATGATTCCGAGCAGGGTTACAACACAGTAGACATTAACAGCATTGCATCAAACCCTTGTGATGTCGTCATGCAAATGCTGTTCTGATGTACCTAGTTCCTGACATTTGACACAAATATGGAAGTTGCAACATTTGCACAATGATGTGTATCCTGAACATTTTGCTATTCTCACCCTCTACAAGGAAATTCTCAGGTTTGAAACCACTCAAGTTTTTTAATAGTCTTAGTCATGAACTGTTAACTGTACAAAACTGGCTTTACTTTGTTGTCAACATATTTTACCTGAGATGTCGAGCAGCACTCCCCCTGCTTCAAGAATGATAATTCCGGCTCCTGCCATGTCCCAGCAGTGAATCCCCATCTCATAATAGGCATCCGCTCCTCCTGTGGCCACTAGGCACATATTAACAGCTGCTGTCCCTACTGCTCTAATCCTAAAACAGGTAACAGAATTATTGCAACCTATTATTTAGGCATTTAAATTAATGACTAATTACTGGACTGCTGAAGCACAGAAGCAAACTCTGAATTTTGGAGAACTGAGTGGAATTTAGTAGAATAAAGTGCATGTACCTAAATCTGGACATAGCCAATATCGGGATATTAGTCTTCATAATAGCACATCATCCTATCTTAATTATTCACTACGTGCCTTTTTCAATCAGCTAGAATGGTGACTTTGCACATTATATATTTTATATTACTGTGTACATATTCTTTTAATAAAGATAATGCATTAAATAGTAATTTGTCAGAACAATTGGAAATCAGCTATATACATCATAGAGAGGTAAGAAACAAACTCCTCTGGATGGTGAAAATCAAGGGCAACATCCAAACATCTCTTTTCATGATTTAGTGGACTTGAGGCCTTGTTTCTAGCTACTACCTCTGAACTGATGGCATTCAACAATTTATGTATAAAATTTATAGGTTGCTTACCCCTACCTCAAGGTAATTCTAGGCGGCTAAAGTCAAAAATTTAAACACCTCCAGGAGAGATAGGTCAAGATTAAATTATTTTTAAACAGTTTGCTCCTGTTGAATTGAAGATATCTTCCTTTCAATGCCTTAAAAATGTTTACATTAACATTTTCCCTTTTATATTATCTCCCTTGCCTTCAGCGATCACCTTCTGAGACTTTGCACATTATATATTTTTATGACTGTGTACAGAGATAATGCATTCCATGGTAATTTGACACTGCATTGGGAAATCAGTGACATTTGGCACACAAATCTCCAAATTGGCAAATAAACTCTTCTATTGCCACAAACAGACACACCTCTGCCGAAATGATAAGCCTCTATTCTTCACTCCTAGCCTAAATTTTTTCTTCCCTCCAGCACTGCCACTCATACTTAGTGTTCAAAATCACATAATTCGTTGGTCATAAAGAGTAAGGTTAGGTTTACAATCAATGTTCTTTTTACTGTACTATATAGAGCCTGCTTTCTGCTTATACCATCTGGAACAATGTATTGAATCAGAGGTACCATGTTTCCCCGAAAATAAGACAGGATCTTATTTTCTTTTGACCTCCAAAATATGGCCTTCCCCTTATTATTGGGGGGGGGGCTTATTGTTTTGGGGGTGCAGGAGACAGCAAACGTGGTCACCTCATGGCTGCTGTGTTGCGCTGCTGCGACAGTGCAACACAGCTATTTGCCCCTGAGGCCTGCCTGCGTCCTGCCAT